CTATGTTCCTATATTTAGAAGTGCTTTTTTTTTAAATGTATCTTGCTTTGATGTGTTTTTTTAAAAAATGATTTATTTATTCATACAGAACTGGGGTGCAAGCCAGAGGTGCAGGGGCAGTGAGGCTTCACCATAGACAGAGTGGGAAGCAGAACGGGCAGACTGATGAAGTACACTGCTGAGGGCAGCAGCGGGCGGGTCAGGAGAGGTCTGCCATGCCATGTGGATCACCTCCACCAGGGAGGCCAGGGAATTGAGCTCTTATTGAAGCGGCTGCGGCCAGCTTGCAGTACCGCGTCCTAACCCATTGCACCGCCAGGGTGGGCCCTAGAAATGTTTTTACTTGCTTTTCCTTTGGTCTTTCCCATCTCAGAAAATGTCATTATTCAACCAGTGGTTACCTAGGATTCACTTAAACCTTTTTCTTCATACCACACTTCCAATCTATTCTAATCCGTTTCCAAAATCTGGGTTACTTCCCTTTATTTCTGGCTAGTGCTTTTGTTCAAGCCATGTCACTTTTTGAGTTCTCTATGTTGGCCTCATTGCAGTTGGTCAATGTCTCCTACACTTAGTAACCAAGTGATTTTCAGAAATTGTCATTACAGTCAATTTTTCCCTTTTTTAAACCCCTGCTTGAGCTGCTTCTCTTCAAATTTCCTTTTTATGACTTAAACTGCTTTTGTTAACCAGCTTTCTCTGTGTATTTTGTATGTGTCAAACTCATTCTTCCATGAGGATCTTCCCACTGCCTTCTCTTTTTACCCCCAAGTTTTCACATGGGTGGCTCCATTTTGTCATCTTGGTTTCTGATGAAATGTGAGTATTTTTAGGGAGCCCTTTGTTTCCCTATGCTTCCCATTTGTTACATAGTTGATAGCAGGTGCCATGCTATCAATGCATAATAAGAATTTTGCAGACTTAAGGTTGTTCCATATCAGCTTCTAATGAATTTTTAAAATTCCTTTTGATGTTTGAAGCATTGCATAGAGTGGGTGTTCTATCATTTGTGTAAGTTGGCTCATATGATGGACATTTAGGTTGTTGCAGTCACCTTAATACATTGCAGTTAATGTTCTTTCCATGTGTATGTTTTTACAGAGGAAAGTAAATTAGTAGAGTAAATTTATTGAAAGGTGTTTACAGGATTAAAAGGCCTGTTTACACTTGTAATTTGCTACATATTACTTGATTTTATGTATAGTATTCTTTTTTAAGATTTATTTATTTATGCATATAGAGCTGGGGTACAGGCCAGAGGTGAAGGGGTGATGAGAGGATTCACCAGAGACAATGTGGGGAGCCGAACAGGCAGACTGACAAAGTACACTGCTGAGGGAAGCAGTGGGAGGGTCAGGATCACCTCCAGGGTGGGGATTGAACTCATGCTGAAGTGGCTTTAGCTTCTTAGTGCTGTGCTTTAATCCGCTGCACCACCAGGGAGGGCCCTATATATAGTATTTTAAGTGTTCTCTTTAAAGTGTTCCTTTGAGAAATAGCAGAGCATTATCTTATCCATTCCAAAAAGAATGAAAGGTGGTTTACATTTAAATTATTACATGTGTTGAGGTTATGATAATTTTAACTAGTCTCTGAAATGGACTAGTATTAAATCCCTACACTCTTCCCTTATCACCACCTCCACCCCCAGCAGTTTTATCTTGGCACACTGAAGTATAGACATTTTTCTCGTACAGGTAAATTGTGACCATATGCCTTAGCATGAGTAAAATTCATGCATGTAGTTGATGTGTTGTCTTCCTTGAGAACAAAGCCACCTGTCTGGGACTTTCTGTCTACATTGATGAAATAGGGATGTAACTCTGCCCCAGCTTAGGTCATTCACATAAGGGAAACAGCATAGGAGATGGTGGAGACATGGATGGAAGGGACCCAGATCTCTGAATGGCTTTTGGCAGAAGAATGACCTGCCAATCTGTCCTGCTTTCTTTTGGACTAGAATTTGAGTGAGAAGTAAATTTTCACATTATTTAAGCCTTTGTATATTTGATCTTTTAAAAAGAGACAGACTGTACCTAATAGAGAAATGTAACAGAAATAGATGAGAAAGAATAGACGAAGAGAAAACTAGGACTACCCAAATGTATATTTTAAGTCCTTGGTTGTTGACTTAGCTGCCTTGTGTGACTCATTGTGTTAGTGGTAGAAAAAGGAAATTATTTCAAGCATATTGATCTGTGTAGATAATTGGATCTTGTGAAGGTACTTAATGGACTAATGGGAATTATCATTTTACCACTGTTAGGACTTAGAAAATACACTCTATGTGGATTAATTATCAACCATGGTAATTGTATGCTTCTATGTATTTTACTTTTTTGAATATTGAATAGCTGTCATGTTTTCTCACTTTATTAATTTTCATTTTCTCCAGACTTGACTTAAACAGAGCAAGGATATTACTGTTTTCCTGTGTTGTCATGGTTGTATGAAGCAATTGTTGTATATCTTTCCGTTTTGTAGTTCACTAAATGCTTCTGTCAATATAATTAGTTTCAACTGTAAGTGACCAAAATCTCTAATAACAATGGTTTAAAAAGGCAAAAGTTGGGCCCTCCCTGGTGGCGCAGTGGGTTAAAGACAGCACTAAGAAGCTAAAAGCCACTTCAGCATGGGTTCAATCCTTGTCACCATGAGGTGACCACATGGTGTGGCAGACCTCTCCTGACCCCCCTACTGCTCCCCTCAGCAGTGTTCTTTGTCGATCTGCCTGTTCTGCTCCCCACTCTGTCTCTGGTGAATCCTCTCACCCCCCCCCCCCACACCTCTGGCCTGCACCCCAGCTCTGTATGCATAAATAATCTTAAAAAAAAAAAAAGACAAAAGTTATTTCTCTTTTGTGGAAATTCTTAAGTTGGGGATTCTGGTTTCCATGAGGTATTTTGTCTATGAATCTATCATATTTTAGTGATTCTGACTGTCATGCTTTTCTTGTTTTTCTGCTGCTATGGCCTTAAGTTCATGGTCTGAAATCAGTACCTATCTATGAGGCAGCAGATGGAGGAAGGGATGAGTACAAGAGCAGAAGGTGCCTGTGTTCTGTTGATGAAGTTTCCACTTGAACTGATGCTGCTTCTCATCAGTTCATGGGACCAGCTAGCAGCTGAGCAAGCCAGGATATGTACTTCTTATGTTGGCAGCAATATTCCTAGTTAAAAATTCCTTTAGTAAGGCCCTCCCTGGTGGCGCAGCGGGTTAAAGCACAGCACTGACAATCTAAAGCCGCTTCCGCATGAGTTCAATTCCCGCCTGCCCCGGAGGTGACCACATGGCGTGGCAGACCTCTCCTGACCCGCCCGCTGCTCCCCTCAGCAGTGTACTTCGTCAATCTGCCTGTTCTGCTCCCCACTCTGTCTCTGGTGAAGCCTTTCGCCGCCCCTGAGCCTCTGGCCTGTACCCCAGTTCTGTATGCACAAATAAATAAATCTTTAAAAAAAAAAAATCCTTTAGTATGAAAAAAGTGAGAATAGGAGAGCAGATCATGGATTGTATTTGGAATTTACAAAACTGATCTTTTATAGAAGTATTTGTTATGGCAGATAATAGCAATAATAAAAAATTACTGTCCTATTTGATAGTAAGGAATTACTTTAATTATGACGCAGGAAGGTGTAGATTTACTTATAGTTTTAGAAAGTTGTCCATTTTAGGTGAGTTACAGAGTATTTAAAATTGTTGAAAAATGCATAATTTCCAACTTTTTTAAAAGAAATTAATTGGATATATGTTTGACTACTTATGCACACATTAGAAACATTTCTGGAAGGATACAAAATGCCATTTTGAGTGATGACAGAATATTTTTATTTTTACTCTTCATCAATTTAAATATGATTTGAAAAATTTTAAATTAGGTAAAATACATATAACATAAACCATTTTTAAGTGTTCAATAGTGTTATCTACATTTACAATGTTGTATTGTCAAATCCAGAACTCTTCTTTATCTTGTAAAACTGATGTGTTCTCTTGGCTCCTGATAGCCATTAATCTACTTGTGAATTTTACTGCTCTACTTACCTCATAAGGTGGACTAGTACAGTATTTTTTTTTTTTTCTGGTAACTGATTTCACTTAGCTTATGGTCTTTTAGGGTCACCCATATTGCCTAGAATACATATGTAAGAATTTTATTTCTTTTTAAGGCTTAATGCTATGCTAGTGTACTTTTTGTTTGCTCACTTGGGTTTTGTCCATCTTTTGGCTATTGTGAATAATGTTGTTATGAACATAGGTGTACACAGCTTTATTAGATGTTCCTTAAGTGAGTGAAGAATCCTCAAAATACTGTATCTTCTGGCACTAAATACATACAACATCAAATAATATACATTTTATTTAGGGGATTATAGAATGAAGAATGTTTGAATTTGCACAAATTTTAGCTAAGAAATTCTTGCATCAGAGAAAAATTCTTTCATGTTTATTTTAGAGAGTTCAATTAAATTTTTTTTAGTTTGACTTTGGGTTTTGATCTTTTCCAGCTGGTGTATTTTTAGGAGATCACAGAAGAAAAGATTGACATACTAATGAAAAGTCCTTTTAATTATTTGCTGCACATAAACATCAAATCCTTGATAGGCAGGTCATGTTTGCAGATAATTAAAATGAAAAAGTTAAATAGAATAGTTTATCATTAATAGAGAGATATTTGTTGGCAAAATTGGCATTTTCTTTCTAAATCACCAGAGGGCACTCTTTTCTAGTTTATTTTAACTGATCTATTAAATTATTATATAACACTTTGAAAAATTTGAGTCCTTTATTGGCATCCAGGTTTGGATTATTTGGAGACTAATGATTGTTTTGATTTGTAATTTTCACTCATTTTATTATGTTTTATTAAAGTGTCATTAAAAGCTAGTCATAAATGCTTTAGGCGGGAGGTTGTATGTCTGCCATAAAATGTCTCTTCAGTTAAGTCTGTTTTTTTGTCTAACAGTTCCATAATGCCCTCTTCCTTTTTTTCTCATGTGAAGGTTTCAGACCGGGTGGAGCGCCGGCTTCAGGAAATAGAGAGGGAGATGCGCACAGAACGGGAGCTGGTGGAAAGACGTCAGGATCAGCTGGGACTTATTTCTTTGCAGCTACAGGAGGTTTGTGAAAAACACCCTGTCAGAAAATAAATCTTGGCGTGGATGGTAATTTAGACATGGTTAAATAGTTAAATTTCTTAGTCTAATTCAGACCATATGAGAATGTGGTATCTCATATGTGAAGATACCCCTACCTGGTTTAAACCCACACTGCTTTACTGACTGTGTGACCTTGGCAAGTTCATTAACCTCTCCGGGTCCATTTTCCCTGGGGAAAATGGAAATAATAATAGTACTTCCTTCATCAGACTGCTGTAAGGATAAATGAGTTAATGCCAGTAAGCAATCAACATAGTGCCACACATGTGCATAGAAAATGTACTCGATTTAATTTTCCTGAGTGTGAATAGACCAGGGGTTAGCAATCTGTGGCCTGTGGGTTCATTCTGGTCCTTGTCTATTTTAATAAAAAAATTTAATTGGGTCACAGCCACTTGTATTCATTTACATTTTGTCTGTAGGTACTTTTGTGAGGCAGCGATGGTTTTGAGTAGTGGTGAAAATGACCAAATGATCCACATTTCAAAGCTACAGTATTGACTGCTGACATTTTATAGAAAAAGCTTGCTAACCCTTGGACTGTATCATCATGCCAATTTACAATGGAAGGAACTCAGCCTTTAGATACCTTTTTTATTTTGAAATTTCAAACTTAAAAAGAAGTTGAAAAATTAGAACACATTTCTGTATACTCTTTACCTGTATTCTTCAAAGATTTATTTATACTTTGCCAGACTTCCATTTCATGTATGTTAAGTTTTTTGAGCCAGTTGCATATATGTTTAAATAGTTTTACACCTAAATAATATGATGTGAACACTCACTCATAATAACAATGCATAAACAATGAGTCAAAATTATAATCTATAACAATTTCTCCGCTAACATTTTCTAGACCAAGATACAGTATAGCTTTTGGCCATCATGTCTCTGTAGTTTCCTTTAATCTGGAACAGTGTTTCAGTCTGTCTTTCATGACCTTGACAATTTTGCAGAATACTGGCTAGTTATTTTGTAGGTTGATATTTGGGGTTTGGTGATGTTTCCTCATAACTAGCTTCAGGTAATGGACTTTTGACAGGAAACCTAGAGAATTGGATCAATTGGATCAGAAGACACCTAGTGCCAATTTATTTATAACTGGTGAAATCTGAAATTTGGTTAAGGCATTGCCTGCCTGGCTTCTCCATTCTGAAATTACTATTATGCCTTTTTTTTTAATTAAAAGATTTATTTGTGCATACAGAACTGGGGTACAGGCCAGAGGTGCAGGGGCAGCAAGAGAACTCACCAGAGGCAAAGCGGGAGTAGAACAGGCAGGCTGACAAAGTACACTGCTGAAAGGAGCAGCGGGAGGGTCAGGAGAGGTCTGCAGCACCATGTGGATCACCTCCAAGGCAGGGGATCGAACTCTTACTGAAGCATCTGCAGCCAGCTTGCAGTCCTGTGTCCTAACCCATTGTGCCATGAGGGCGGGCCTCTATTAATGCCTTTTTAATTATTTAGTTTATGGGAAGTCATTCAAATTTGTAAATAGCTTATTTTCGTACATTCACCCACAAATTTTAGCAATGTTTGTTTTTTTAAAACAATTTTTACTGTGAGTGATGCTAAATGGTGATTTTTTAAAAAAATGCCATCATTTGTTCTATATTTATTAACAGGTTCTTAACTATAAAAAAGGGCTTTGTCTTTCTTCATTCATTTATTTTGATGTAGGTTTGTGAATTTTTATTACATTGGCTTTATTTTATTACTATCACCTTAGACAGTTAATTTTTTGAAATTAAATTTTCAAATATTAGAAACAAAAAAGGGAATTTTTTTCAAAATGATTTTCTCTAAAAGTGGTGTATTATAGTAGTTGCATTTATATGTGCTTTGAAGTTCGTTAACTGTTGTAAATTGATATATTAAAATATTCTTTAAAAATCATTAGGAAACACTGCAAACTGAAAACTAGGACCAGAATTGCAATACTGAAGCTATAATATAAGCTCATAGAAAAACTGCTTTTGTTTTCTAAAAAAAAAGTAGGTAATGTCTTCGAAGAGGATACTTTGGCAAATGATTAAGTATAGCAGGTAGCTTTTCTTTTTAACTTTGGTTTTTATACATTTTTCTCAAAGTGAATTACATCTGGTGAGCATAAGAATAGTGCTAAAAAGACAATTAATCTTTTTTTATGCAAGAGAAAATTAGAGATTTTCCATACTTATTTTTTTCTCTCTGCAGAATGTACAGAATTATAAAGAATGAGGGAGAGGTAGATTGCTTCCTACCCTATTTTTGAGAAACCATAGTCTTTATTTGTATTGGAATTGTCAGCCTGATTTAGTGCTTAGGCTACAATTTGGAATTCCATTGTGATAATATGATAGAGTATCATGATTGATAAAAAATGCTTAACTTCATATTTTGTCACTTTAATATAAGTGGTGACCTGGATGCTTTTAAAAGGTGGTTTTGGATTACACAGTGCAGTGGAAACTGGAAAGGATTAATTTAGGCTGACACGTGTTCCTACTCCCTAGTTAAGTGGCTTACTTAGACTGTTCTGGAAAGGTCATGTTTAAAGAAAGAAAGTACTTTTCTTTCTTTGATATTAAAAATATGTATGGAAATACACTATATGATTGTAAGAATTGATATATATTTTGTTTCTATGGTAAGAGATTGAATCTATAGGTGAGTAAATTGGCTAGACTTCTAGCCACAGTGCTCTTCTGCATCTCTAAAAATGTGTATTTCACTGTTAGTGAAAATTATGACATTTAGAAGCTGTTAAGAGATTAGGAGTTTTCATTAAAAATTCTAAGGTGTCAGAGGTTTCTAGGTATAATGTTGTATTAGTGGGAGGCAGCCTGTGGTTTTGGCTGAAGCCTCCTTTTTAGTGATCTGATAATGTCCTTAGGTCCTTGGGGAGCTTCTTTACTAGTCCCCATAATTAAAAATACACTATTAAGCTTTGGAAATTGTTTGAAGGAAAGCCACTGATCTTTTCTTGTACAGAGTTTTTAAGAAACTGTTCTTTGTTTTTTGCTCTTTTGTTTGCTTTGTTTTTGTTTTTTTCTCCTGCTCTAAGCAAGAGGGCTATGCATATTCCAGACTCTGCTTCCTTCTTTGAGTCTCAACTGCTCTGGGATTACTATGTCACATGAATGTCAGGTTTTCTTAACTTGCAAGGACCTTCACTTATCTTCACACTTCATGCACCGTATTTGAAATGGCATTGTTTCGGTATTTTTGTAAAGCTCCCTTTAGGAAGACGAATGCTTTATATTAGTTGTGCAATAAACTCTTCTTATATATACTTTTAAAATTTGGAATGATTGTCCTTTGTATCCTGATCATTCACTATTAAATATTGTTAAGCCTTTAACCACTAGTCTTTACTTTCAAACACTGTTGCAAATATTTGTTTAGGCCCCCCCCCCACCCTGGTCCAGATACAAAGGGTTAGGGCACAGCACTGCAGTCTTGTCCCAGTTGTTTCAGTGTGAGTTGGATCCCTGGCCCCAGAGGTGACCCACATGGTGCAGCAGACCTCTCCTGACCTGCCTGTTGCTCCCCTCAGCAGTGTACTTCCTTGATCTGCCGGTCCTGCTCCTCATTCTGTCTCTGGTGAATCCTCTCACTGCCCTTGCACCTCTGGCCTGTACCCCAGCTCTGATAAATAATAATAAATAAAATCTTTAAAAAAATGAAATATTTGTTTAATGTTGGGGTATGTTTGATCATTTTACCAAATCCCGTTTGGTCAGACTCCTGATGATGAGCTAACTTTGATTAATTAATTTTAGTGGCGGGGATCGGATGGTGAGTGCTCAAGTCCTGAAAGGGGTATTCATGCTGTATGCTAAGTCAAAACACATAAAATTTCTAATTGACTATGTTCTTTCAGAATTTCTGGTTTACTTTCTTACTAGCTGTTTCTTGTATATTGAATGTTACTTCTTCATCTTCAGTTGAATTACTTAAAATAAAGACCACCATCAAAAGCTAAGTGTATATTTATTTATGTATGCTTTTTAGAGTAGTTCATACTATATTAGAATGCTAATTTGCCTATCTGTCCCTACCAAGAATACTTTGTGCTTGAATGTGACCAAAGGTGAATCTGGTGCCTTCAGATCTGAAGGTGCTTCATGGAGGAATCTGTGGGGCTGATGAGACATGGAATCTTGATAAATGATGGTGAAGACTAGGCGAAGACTTGTCGAGTTTCAGGTAGATTTTTAGTCACTGCCTGTATGGCTAAACAGATGATGTGAGCCTATTCAATAAAATAAGGCCATATACAGAAAAAGTAAAGTAATAGATATTTTAAAAAAAGTTTCATTTTTGGACATCTGAACCAATTATGAAAAAGTAGCTATTTATTCCTTCCCAGAAATGTAATTCTGGCTCCAGAGATGCTGAGTAATATGGATATTTCACCTAAGAAAAGCCTTAGGTACTGTTTATTAATGTATTTAGTTTGGACTCATTATGGGAGAAACTTCCAAGGAAGCCAAGAATGTTTTGCTAATGTCTTCTTAACAGCATTAGCATCTCCCTTGAGACTTCTGTGCCAACTCAAGAGAACCTAGTAAGGTGTATGTTCCAATGTGGCCTCTTTAACCCTTTCTCTTGTACTCCTTTTGAGTCTTCCCTACATTGGAGACATAGAGGCCTGCTTGAGTCTGGTAGATTTTGGTAAAATCACTCACCTTTCCAGAGCTGAATTGCAAAATTCTGCTGGGCCATTCACTTTAGCCTCTTGTTGTTCACATTAGTTGGTGTCCTCTTTTTGGGAGGTACCCTCCACATTTTCACTTATTTCATAGTAGAAACTTCTACTTCCACTGTGCTACTAGATGCCATTTAGTTTCCTTCACTCTTCCATGGACCATCCCAACAGCCTCCCTGGACTTTGAGAAAGACATAGCATTTACAAGAAGATGAGAGATTAAAAATACAAGTTTGGGTCCTCCCTGGTGGTGCAAGGGATTAGGATG